ATTCAAAAATTTATATCTTCCGAACCAGATTTTCTTCAACAATGAAATTTTCCACATTTACAGCCTTGGCTAATGTCTACTTCCTCCCAAAATTTTATTCGAAAATATTGATTGAAACAATACGAAAAAAATTCTTGTTTGGTATCAGAGGCCAAAAACTCGATTGTGCCACAACTTAAATTCAAAAATTTATATCTTCCGAACCCGGCTTTTTTCAACAACGAAATTTGGGCCAATTATAGATCAAGTCCGTGTCTATTAGGTGCCAAAATTTCGTTCGAAAATATTGATTGCAAATACCCGAAAAAATTCATTTTTGATCCAGCAATAAAAAAAACAGTTTCTCTCTCGACTTTTATTTAACAATAAAAATAACATACAATAAAAACGAATTAATTCCTGTCTTCCACACGTAATTTTCCGCACTGACAACAATTTCACCTTGACTCATTGTTAAAAATTTATCGATCACATTTTTGAAACAAAGAACTCGATTTGCTGCTTCCACTCTCACTCGATTTTTTCGGTAAATTGGGCAAAAAAATATGCAATTGTCTTTTGGCGGTCCTGGGACGAAATTTGGGCCTCTCCTCCTCAACGGGGGGCTCCTCCACCCGCTCGCACTCCATGCGGGAGGTCACCAAAGGAGGCACCTCCACCGGACTTATCTTACACTCAATTTTCTCCTCCAATTTTTGAGGTGGCAAAATTTTGATTGTTTTATGATTCTGGACGGCCAAATCAAGCCAAATGATGACTCTTTCACTCAAAGACGTGTTAAAATCCAAACAGAAATTCTCATACGAAAACGGAGGAGGTGTTTCGAGTTTCTCCCTCTCAACCTCAAGACTTTTAGCCTTGAAATGAATTTTTTTCTCATTTTTGAAAAACACTTGTTTGTTTAAATCACTAAACCGGATTGAATCCCCCGGAATTATATCGACAGTGAGCGCACTTTTGGCGAATTTCCGGTCACCGGACTCGGTTTTGCATCTCCGGATTTTCGAATGATCGCTGAATTTTCGCAAACCGGCGAGGAATAACGTCACTGGTGATACTTGAGGCAAATCGGGGCCTCTTCGACCGGAAACCGGATTCCTCCGGGTGGCCCGTGTCCGGATTTCGTCCTCTTTTTTGAAAATCACGTGATGGTGGCCGTCTTTCCACACAGTCCGGATGAAAAGTGGCCGCTTGCTGGATTCCCACCGATTTCCGGGCATTTTTTTTTCAAGTCACGCGCGAATCGAAACTCCGGGGACAGGCACAGGCGACTTGTACGACATTTCACCCGGAAATAAACAGAGAAACTGAGAAACCACACTTGAGATGTGGAACAGCATGGCACACGAAATTGCGCAGTGTTTGAGGAGATGTTTTTGAGGGGATTTGCATATTTTTGTCAAGGGGAGGGAAATTAGAGAGACACTGTGGAGGAATTCGGGTAATTGCGTGTGAAGGGAGCGTAAAATTAGAGATGAAAAATTGCGTTTTTTATCGATTTTGACCCAGTTTTAAGTCTCATACTATTTTTTTACCCACATGTTTGGATTTGGAGACTAGTCTGATTTTAATTTATTTTGCTGTCCGATTTTGTATTTTTTTGAAATTGAAATTTTGGCAATTGATAAACCTTAGGCAAGGCTATAAATGTACAAAACTTCATTGTTGAAAAAAATCGGGTTCAGAAGATATAAATTTTTGAATTTAAGTTGTGGCACAATCGAGTATTTGCCCTCTGATATCAAACAAGAATTTTTTTCGTATTGTTTCAATCAATATTTTCGAATGAAATTTTGGGAGGAAGTAGACATTAACCAAGGCTGTAAATGTGGAAAATTTCATTGTTGAAGAAAATCGGGTTCGGAAGATATAAATTTTTGAATTGAAGTTGTAGCAAAAAAAAATTTTTGAATCAAACAAGATTTTTTTTCACATAGTTCCAACCGAAATTCTTCAATGGAATTTTAGGAAACTAATAGACACTATAATGACCTCTCATCAGCCCTTATGACATCATCAAAAATCTTCTATTTTTAAAGTTACAAATTTTTCAATTTTGGCTACCACTGTCTATCAAACTCTAATGTTTTKGACACCCTTGCCGGGCAAGAATTTTAATAAAATTTGGGGGGTTGGTAGACCTGTACTAATACTATAAATAACTCAAATCTCGTAACTTAGAAATTATCGGTTCRCGAGATAGAAATTTTTAATTTCTCGTTTAAGTAAAATTCTTTTTTGCTCACTGATGCCAAACATGATTTTTTTCGCAAAGTTCCAACCAATATTTTGAAATGAAATTTTGGCAATTGATAAACCTTAGTCAAGGCTATAAATGTACAAAATTTCATTGTTGAAAAAAATCGGGTTCGGAAGATATAAATTTTTAAATTTAAGTTGTGGCACAATCGAGTTTTTGTCTTCTGATACCAAACAAGAATTTTTTTCGTATTGTTTCAATCAATATTTTCGAATGAAATTTTGGGAGGAAGTAGACATTAACCAAGGCTGTAAATGTGGAAAATTTCATTGTTGAAGAAAATCTGGTTCGGAAGATATAAATTTTTGAATTGAAATTGAAGCAAAAAAAAATTTTGCACTCGATACCAAACATGAATTTTTTTCGCATAGTTCCAAACAAAAATTTTTAATGAAATTTTAGAGACTAATGAACACTGTAATGACCTACCACCAGCCCTTATGGCATCATCAAAAAGCTTCTATTTTTTAAGTTACAAATTTTTCAATTTTGGTTATCACTGTATCAAGTTTCAATATTTTGGACACSCTTGCCGTGCAATTATTTTAATAAAATTTACGGGATTGGTAGACCTGTACTAATACTATAAATAACCAAAATCGCATAACTTAGAAGTAATCGGTTCGCGAGATAGAAATTTTTGATTTCTCGTTTAAGAAAAATTATTTTTTGATTTTTTTTCAAAGTACCAATCAATATTTTCAAATGAAATTTTGGCAATTGGTAAACCTTAGTCAAGGCTACAAATATACAAAATTTAATTGCTGAAATTATTGGTCTAATAATAATCGAAAAATAGCGAATTATATTGGCTCTGGGGTTGGCTCCACCCATTGTGCAAAATTAGGTCCAATTAAAATAAGATATCTCACACTAAACGCTGATTTGTTATAAAAATTCGATTCGGAATTCAATAATTATTCAGGATTTTTTAAATGGGTGGAGTTACTTATCGTTGCTAGGTTTTTGTCGGATTTCGGCCAATAAGAAATAAAAACCGGTTTATTCTCACGACAGTGGTCATTCCGTGCTTGTGAAATAATTGTCATTGGCCCTTATAATTTGACCAATAAATTGCCAAATATGTCCAACCAATCAAATTCAAGATTGTCCAAAAAAAGTTTTCCCCAATTGGCACTGAAAAATTCAAACTTTTTTCCCCATTTTGACTGTTTTAATTCAATTCGAATTTGGTTTGACATAAACGCAAAAATGATCAATTTAAATTCATTTTCCCAATCGGCAATGAAAAACAATTAAGAACTATTTTGCCGAAAAAATATCTTCTCAGTTGACTTCAAAAAAAAAAAAAAAACGCAGTTTTCAAATAACTTAAAAAATAAAATTAATTTAAATTTGTTTCCTCAATTGGCACTGAAAAATTCAGACTTTTTCCCCATTTTGACTGTTTTAATTCAATTCGAATTTGGTGTGAAATAAACGCAAAAATGATGAATTTAAATTCATTTTCCCAATCGGACATGATAAATAATTGAAGTTTTAAGATTAAGGACTATTTCGCAAAAAAAATATGTTCTCAGTTGACCCAAAAAACGCAGTTTTCAATTTACGGCAAAAAAAGAGAAATTTGAATTTGTTTTCTCAATTGGCATTGAAAAATTCAAACTTTTTTCCCATTTTGACTCTTTTAATATAATTTGAATTTGGTGTGAAATAAACGCAAAAATTATCAATTTAAATTCATTTTCCCAATCGGACATGAAAAATAATTGATATTAGATTAAGGACTATCTCGCCCAAAAAATTATTTTCTCACTTAACCCAAAAAAACGTTTTTCAATTTAAGGCAAAAAGGCAAAAAAAATGTGAGTTTGTTTCCTCAATTGGCATTGAAAAATACAGATTTTTCCCCATTTTGATTGTGTAAACTCAATTGGAATTCACTGTGACATAAACGTAAAAATAATGAATTTAAATTCATTATTCCAATTGGCAATGAAAAACTGAGTTAGATTAGGGATTATTTCGTCAAAAAAAATCCAGTTCGCACCGAAAATTAAAGTTTGCAAATAACTTCAAAAAATGATAAATTTATTTAGAATCCAAGTTTTTTACAATAAAAAATGTGTCCTCAATTGGTGATAAAAATTGCAAATTAACAATACATATTTGAACAATTTGCACAAATAAATTGGCGATGAAAAACTGAAGTTAGATTAGAAACAAAATAATTTCCCAGTTGGCTCCGAAAAAACGAAGTCTGACACGTTTTTTTGCAATTTTAAGGGCAATTAGTCATTATAGTGGCCTTATTAGCTTCCATTTCGCCATTTCATGCATTTTTTTCTATTTATTTTTTAATTGAAATATAAATAAAGTTTCAAGGTTTTTATTAAATTTTTTTCGTAACAACACTTTACTAAATTTCATGCCCAAGAGAGTGTAATTACGTAAATGGTGCATCAAATTATACGATTTTGGCATTTTAATGAATAGAAAAACTCCTGGGAAAAATAAAATGTTACGCCACTGGTGAATGACACTTCGAAAACGCAAAAAGTGATAAAAACAGTTTACTCTTGACTTATTGACCTTATATTACGTCATAATACATCACAAATAAAAAATTCATAACAATTTAACGTCAATTACGTAAAAAATTAACAAAATTCAAGATGATGGGTATGCAACCAACAATACCGATTTGTATGTTTGATTGCATACAACACAAATAATTTTTAACAAAATTAGATTTTGTTAACTTACTTGGTAGCTCATGGTCCCCACATCCCTGGCTTGAAACCGTGACCTTAGCGGCGGGTCTAATGGATTCCCCCTATACCTATAATTTTTTTTAGACAAGAAAAAAAAATTACTGAATTTACTTAGGCACAGGTAATCCTAACGCAATTACTCTGAAATTCTCATCCACTCTGACTAACTTCCACTTATCCAACTCGTCTCTCCCATATTGCTGAAAAAAATTTTTTTTGGGTAAAAACCCGAATTTTGTCAATGCTACCAACCTCCAACAATTTATCGTATCTAGCGGCAGGTATAAGCAGTCTGCCGTCCTCTAAATGCATTTCCCTGTTTTCTAGTAAATTATTTAATACTGGAAGGACGTTTCGCTCCGCTTTTTCGATCCCTTCAAGGACCAAAATTCGCCCTTCAGTGGCGGCCCTCACAGCACTCTAAACACAACAATCAAGCTTTGGCCCTTTAACCCCGCCCTCAAACCTGGTCAAAGTACATCGCAGTCCCTTTCACAATCTCCCTCCTTTGTTTCAAGTCCGACTCTGTGGTGTCCCTACTAAGGGCCACATACTCGTGCTCCCGATTGGTCAATTCCAAATACTGCATGGCTAAGTTGCGTTTAAGGGCCCCCGGGGGCCCCAAAAGGAAGATATCCTGCCCTAAAACGTCCTTTTGCATCATCCATTTGAGATGATTCAACGTGGTTTGCCCCAAATTGTCCCTATCTAAAAGGCCCTTTATTGTAATCCAAAAATTACAAAATAATTACAAAGTGTTACAGTAGTTACAAGGGACGTATTCGGGCCGTTTAGCCTCGGTTATAACCTTTGTAACTTCACCAATCGAGACGGAGCCCTGCGAGACATACGCACGCACATTGTTGCCCAAAATGGGGTTGACATTGGTCAAAATGCGAAATAGGGTTTGGATTCGACGATTTGCAGGGCTGTTGTATAACATTTTCGCGTGGAAAGTGCTGAAATACTGAGATAAAACGGTTTTGGGTGAAGATACAAAGGTTAGGTTGTCAAATGTCAGTTAGCTGTCAAATGCCCGGCAGTGGCGTAACATAAAGTGACAAATGGGGGCTCAAACTATAAAAATTTGTTTATTTTTCCAAAAATTAAACAAGAAATGAACCAATTCGTAAATAAAAACAACAAAACTAATTGCTAAACCGGTCAAAAGTCACACTAGAGCTGATTTTGGGCGTTCCATGTTGACATAACTGTCACTCGTTGAAATCAATTTTGACCCCCTAAACGGCGTTAAAATTTATCAAAATGCGAAATAGAGTTAGTTTTATAAAATTTTTGCGTTACAAGAGGTGAAATACTGAAAAAAAAAATTTTTTAGCCCTCAAATGTCAAGCAGTGGCGTAACATAAAGTGGCAAAGGTGGGCTCAAAATATAAAAATTTGTTTATTTTTGAAAAAATTAAACAAAAAATGAGTTAATTTGCAAAAAGAACAACAAAATTGATTATTAAACCGGTCGAAAAACACGTAAAAACTGATTTGAGGTGTTCCATGATGACATAACTGTCACTCGTTGAATTCAATTTTGACACCTCAAACGCGGTTGAAATGTCAAATTGCAAAATAGATTTTAAATTCAACAATTTGCACAATATTTTCGCGTGGAAAGTTGTGAAATACTGCGCAAAAACGATTTTTGGTTGAGATACAAAGTTTAGGTTGGCAAATGTCATTTACCTGTCAAATGCCAAGCAGTGGCGTAACATAATTTAAAGTTAAAGTTTGTCAAAATGCAAAATAGTGTTTAATTTGTTTTATAACTTTTTTGCGTTAAAAGTGGTTAAATAGCGAAAAAAACTATTTTGGGTGAAAATACAAAAGTTTAGCCCTCAAATGCCAAGCAGTGGCGTAACATAAAGTGGCTGGCAAAGATGGGCTCAAAATTTGAAAATTTGTTTATATTTGAAAAAAATAAACAAAGAATTAGTTAATTCGCAAAAACAACAACAAAATTGATTATTAAACCAGTTAAAAAACACGCAAAAACTGATTTGAGGTGTTTCATGATGACATACATAACTGTCACTCTTGAATTCAATTTTGACACCCAAAACGGCGTTAAAATTAGTCAAAATGCGAAACAGTGATAGATTTCGACGATTTGCAAGACTATTTTATAACATTTTTTGCGTTAAAAATGGTGAAATACCGAAAAAAAAACTATTTTAGGTGAAAATACAAAAGTTTAACCCTCAAATGCCAAGCAGTGGCGTAACATAAAATGGCAAAGGTGGGCTCAAAATATGAAAATTTGTTTATTTTTGAAAAAATTAAACAAAAACGAGTCAATTTGCAAAAAAGAACAACAAAACTGATTATTAACCGATCAAAAAACAAGCAAAAACTGATTTGAGGTGTTCCATGATGACATAACTGTCACTCGTTGAATTCAATTTTGACACCTCAGAAGGGGTTGACATGTCAAATTACAAAATAGAGCTTGAATTCAACAATTTGCACAACATTTCGCGTGGAAATTGGTGAAATACTGAGAAAAAACGATTGTGATTGAAGATACACAGGTTAAGTTGTCAAATGTCATTTAGCTGTCAAATACCAAGCAGTGGCGTAACATAAAGTGGCAAGCCGGGACTCTAAACTATGAAAATTTATTGTGAGAGAAGATACAAAGGTTAAGTTGTCAAATGTCATTTAGCTGTCAAATGTTAAGCAGTGGCGTAACATAAAGTGGCAAATGGGAGGCTCAAATTTGTTTATTTTTGAAAAAATTAAACAAAAAACGAGTCAATTCACAAAAAAGAACAAAACTGATTATTAAACCGGTCAAAGAACACGCAAAAACTGATATTTTGGGTGAAAATACAAAAGTTTAGCCCTCAAATGCCAACCAGTGGCGTAACATAAAATGACAAAGGTATGAAAATTTGTTTATTTTTGAAATAATTAAATAAAAAATGAGTCAATTCGCAAAAAAGATCAACAAAACAGTCAAAAAACACGTAAAAACTGATTTGACAACGCGGTTGAAATGTCAAACTGCAAAATAGAGTTTGAATTCAATTTGCACAACATTTTTGCTTAGAAAGTGGTGAAATACTGCGAAAAAACGATTTTTGGTTAAGATACAAAGGTTAGGTTGTCAAATGTCACCGCTGTCAAAAGCCAAGCAGTGGCGTAACATAAGTGGCAAGTCGGGGGTCTAAACTATAAAAATTTGTTTATTTTTCAAAAAATTAAACACAAAATGGACCAATTCGCAAATGAGAACAACAAAACTGGTTACTAAACCGGTCAAAAGACACACAAATGCTGATTTGAGGCGTTCCATATTGACATAACTGTCACTAGTTGAGTTTAATTTTGACATTTCACTTTTCCACTTATGGGTGTAGACCTGCCGGGCCCAAAAATCCACAAATCCGCCTTCTACAAGCCTCGAAATTATCTCATTTAAACGGGATTTTAACGGAAACCCTTTTTTCATTAACAATACAACCGGATATGTCGCTATATTATTGGAAAAACAAAAAATGAGCGGTTTATTGTCACTAATGTATGACTTTTTGACATAATAAATGTAAGTCGATGAGAGACAGATGGCGCTGTCTCTGTCATAAGCCACTCGATTCAAACAATCTCTCATGTCGTGACATTCACTACTCATATTTAAAATTTCGTCACTTAGTGACAAGTTTTTGTCAAAATGGCTGAAAAAACTCGAGGGTAATAACAAACCTAACCTATTTTGAATCACTTGTTCTATAGTTTTGGTTTGTGTCTCGTATGTGGGTTTAGTGAGGACACTGACAAGTCTAGTGTTATACAGGATGCCAAAATTGAAACAAAAAATTAACCAGAAACAGGTTATCCAACGTAAATAGTGACTTTTGGGGTGGGGACGCACAGAAATCGACAATGCAATCCCGTAGAGGGCTTGGAAACAGTTGGTAAGCCTGCGATAGTGTGTTTCTGGCCTCCTTTGGCTCAGACTCCAGACTAGGCAACTGAACGCGATGAAAGACCCTAAAAACGTGGCCCATAGGTTGGTACTAACTGCGTCTAGTACCTTCCGCCATGATGGTTGTGTGTGCGCATGCGGGACGCACCACCGGAACGACTCGAAGTAATACGATTGGCTGTTTTCGAAAAACTTTAATCTTTCGTAGGTTGGTGTCAATGATGCTATCGCAACGTCGATTTTCTTCTGTCTCAGGAGTGCCATCAGACCGGTCCCGGTGCCATTTTCCGACAAATGTCCCCAGTTTAGGGGTTTTTCCGAAATGGTGTAACTGACATTCATTTTGAGTTTTTGACAAATTGTTTCAATTAGTCGCACTTCAAGCCCTTGAGTGACGATGTAACGGTCTGTGTTGGCAACCCTGGTGGTGGGGGTCATGACGTAGGGGGGCCACACCACTGCTCCCACTACCAACTTACAAAAACGCAAAGTTTGGGGGATTTTCACCGGGAATAGATTCGCACCATTTACAAGGACGCCATTTTGACAGGTGTCAAAAAGACGAAATTGGTCAAAATTCAAGCCATTTTGACACTTGTAAGGGTACCAACTGTACAAATTGGTGATTTTTGAATTGTCAAAACTCGAAATGGCCAAAATAAAGTTGTAAATGCCTTCGTACCACAAAATTTCGATCATTTTCGATAAATTTGTCTCAGTTGAGTTGTTGACACCAATGATGAATTTCGATTTTGGGTTCCATGAGTGTAAATATTTGAGGTTTTGGAGTGTTGATTCGAGTTCCAGGTCGTTGGAGGATTCGATCAAGTAGTTGTCGGTTTGAGTCCAGAAATTGTGGCCCAAATCCGGGTTAAAGTCACTCGAAATTGAGATTGGGTGACCTTGAGAGGTCAAAATTTTCAAAAAATTTGAGTCGAAAAGGTCACTCTGGTTGTGGGACACCCAAAATGTCTCAGATTTGGCGGAAAATCGCAAGGAGATTGATTGGAGGCACTTGGAGAGGGGGGAATTCGAGTGGGGGGACACTCCGGATAAGAGGAGAATGAGGAGAAACATTGTTACAAAGTGGCCAAAGGGACACTGGGGGCCCTTTTATAGTGATTTGATTAATAATTTATTAATTTACCATCACTTTAATGGATTTTTTAATTAATTAATTCTTTTAAGTTTGTTGAAAGTAATTAAGTAATTTATTAATTAAGTTTACTCATTACGTAAAAAGTTGTGTCAGATATTGTAAAAATTTTATTCGCAAAATCAGAAATGAGTAGTAATCATGCTATTTACCCCCACTACTTTCACGCATGCGCTGTTAACGGAGGTGGGGGAAATGTGGCATTATTACTACTCTTTTTTCTTTAATTGATTTTTTAAATAAAAATAAATTAAATATCACTGTTGTTTTATTTGAGTTTTAATAACGAAAAGAAAAAAAAAACCATTAAGAAATAAATTAGAGATAAAGGCAGAAATACAAAATAGATCGATTAATTTCAGTAGATAAATGAAACAAAGAGTAACATAAATGGCACATAAAAATGAAATATAAAGTGAAATAAATGCTACATACGAAGTAAAAGACGTAAAAGAACACAAAATGCAATAAGGAAGGAAAGAAATAAAGTAGAAAAAAGAAAGAAGTGTGAAATAAAAGACAAAAAATTTTTGTTTGTTTAAAAAAAAAGCTAAAATAAAAAAAGAAACAAAAAATTAAAATGATTAAGATTCTAAATAAAAAATAATAAACAAAAGACAAAATTTAAAAACCAATCTTAAAAAATTTGAAAACAGCATAAAAAATTGAATACAAAC